CTGCAGGCTGGAGATCCTGGGATGCCAGTAGCACGGCTCAGTCCGAGTTCAAGGGCTTCAGAACAAGGGACGCTGATGGTGAAACTCTTGGTTTGGAGCCAAAGGCCTGAGTACCAGCAAGGGAGCTGCAGCTGTAGGTCCTGGAGTCCAAAGGCCCCAAGTCTGGAGTTTTGATATTCAAAACAGGAATTGAGTGTGTGCCAGTCCCAGCTCTGATAGCGAGAGAGAGAGAGAGAGAGAGAGAGAGAGAGAGAGCAGTTTGCTTTCTGTATTTATCCTCTCCAAGCCCCCAGCAAATTGCTGCTGCTGCCCTCGGAGGGCAGCTCTTCCCACCTCACCCACTCAGACTTACATGCTAACTTCCTCTGGAAACAGCCTCACACACACATCCAAAATAATATTTCCCCAGGTTGCTGGGTTCCTTAATCCAGTCAAGTGGATACCTGAAGTTAACCAGCACAGGTATGAAGTAAATAACACAAGTGTGCAAGGTAGGGTGGGAATAGAGAGAGGTGGGAACCATGAAAAATGAAAGAGCACACATCCCTTTGCAAGGCACCCACCTGCACAAGGCACCCACCCTGTCACCTCTGGGTTTCCTGGCTGTGTATGTGGCACATTGCAATGAGTGATGACCGGAATGAAGGATGTGAGTCCCTAACATGTTGGTGAAGCTCTTTCTGCCTGGTTCCACCAGCTGGAACCTGGTTAATGATCAGCCTGGGATCACAGCAGCTCCTGGGGCTCCAAAAAATGAGATGAGTAAAAGAGTGGCCTGGCCATCTTACTGTTTCCTCCATATCCATGGTCTCGGGCACCTTCCTGCCTTAGCTGCTGTGCTGTAGTTAAGATTCTCCTGCTGTTGCTGTATCATGTTTCTATGCAGTTTCTCTGTCTTTTGGTTTTGGTTTGCTCTTAACTTGCTTCATAGCACCTGCTCATTTATGACTCGGCTTACCTTCTGGCTTCTACAGTCTTGCATCACTCAACACCTGTCTGTTCATTGAGTCAGCATCCATCCATTCAGTGTCCTTGCTGGACAGAGCTCCAGTGACTACTGGCAGACCTAGGGATGGCAGCTTTGGGTTAAGTGCTGACTACCTAAGTCAGCTGAGCTTTGGCCAGAGAATCAGTCAACCAGCAGTAAGCATAGGGACCCATTCATAAAGAGCCATTTGTGGTTAACCTCAGAAGGGACAGTGAGTATAGAAAATCATTCAAGTGCCATGGATACAATACCAAGATGTCACAGTATTGTCTTTAAGAAAGCAGGAAAGGGGCCAGTGTTGTGGCATAGCAGGTTAAGCCACTGCCTGTGACACCAGCATCCCATATGAGCTCCGGTTCAAGTCCCTATTCCACTTCTGATCTAGCTCCCTGTTAATGCTCCTGGGAAAGCAGTGGGAGATGGCCTGAATGCTTGGGCCCCTACCACCTATATTGAAGACTCTGATGGAGTTCCAAGGTTCCTGCCTTTGGCCTGGCTCAGTCCCAGATGTTGCTAATACATGGGGAGTGAATCAGCAGTTGGAATCAATCTCAATCTCTCTCCCTCCCCCTCTCTTCTCTCTCTTCCCTCTCTTCCCTTCTCCTCTCTCCCTCTCCCTCTCCCTCTCCCTCTCCTTCTCCCAGCCTCCCATCTCTATAGCTGTGCCTCTCAAATAAATCTTAGAAAATAAACAAAGAAAGCTGGAGAAAAAGTCAGTTAAAATAGGCATACAAAGCAAAAGTTTAAATTTCAGGTACATGGAAAGTAAGGCTACTCAAAGTGGGTCTTCTTTCTGTATAATTAGCATGAATTTGGCTGCATGTAACAGAATAGCCAATTAAGAGTAGTTAAAACAATACAATATTCTCACCCAAGAAGTGCAGGGATAGGTGGTTATAGGTATTGGCCCAGCAGCTCTGTGACATTAAGGCAACCATCTCAGAGATTCCTTGAGCTCATGCCACACCAGTACAAGATTGCTGCACTCAACCAAGGAAGAACACCAGAGGCTGTTCCTTCTGTTTGTTTATCCATTCAGGAGGGAGGGAGGGGGACAGCAAGAGAGAGCTCCTATCCATTGATTATTTCCCCAAATGCTCACAAAGGCGGGGCTGGGCTGAGCCAAGGCTGGGCGTTGGGAATTCGATCCGGGTCTCTCAGGTAGATTTCAATTACTCAATACTTGAGCTATGACCTGCTGCTCCCAAGGATCTGCATTGGTGGGAAGCTGGAGTTAGGAGAAAGGACCAGGCATTAAACCCAGGCCTGGGACATGGGCATCTTAAATCAGCATCTTATCTACTAGGCCAAAGACCTGTTCTCTTCATTAAAATCTATATCTATATCTATATCTATATCTATATCTATATCTATATCTATATCTATATCTATCTATCTACTTGAAAGGGAGCATGAAAGAGAGACTGAGAAAGAGAGAGATCCTCCTCCTGCTGGTTCATTCCCCAAATGGCTGCAATGGCTGAGGGCTAGTCCAGGGTGAAGCCAGGAGCTGAGACCTCCATCCAGGCCTCACACACAGGTGGCAGGGACCCAAGTTCTTAGGCCATATTCTGCTGTTCTCCCAGGCACATTATCAGGAAGCTGGATGGGAAACAGAGCAGACTAGCATAGGCACTCAGTTGCAGGCAGCAGCTTAGTTGGCCGTGCCACAACATAGCCAGCTCTCCAACTAGATTGGCAACATCTTGTGTGTGCACCTCTATATTTGTAGTTCAAGGTACCATACAGCATTGGTGGCTTGAGAAAAGAAATATAAGCAGAAAACGCATGGGTTTGAATATGGACGTCATCATTCACTGACTCTGCAGTCTTAAAGTAATTAATTTTGCTAAGTGTCACTCCTGCTAGGTCAAAGGGATACTAAATAGCTCCCTTGCAGGGCTGTTACAAGTATTAAATATGCAGTGTGTTTGCACTCCCTGGGCCTGAAGAGATACCTCCAAAGAGTCACTATTCTCTCGTGGAGGTCTGGGATCTGTTTCATCACCGTGTGGTAGGTGGACGCAGAGTAGAAGGCTACAGAGCGTGAAGGTCAAGAGCACAGGCCCAAGTCAGGTGCTGGAGCTGGACGTCTCCTCCACCACTTAGTAGCTGTGTGACCTTGGAGAAGTGTCTTGGCCTCTCCAAGCTTCAGCGTCCCCATCAGTAACTGGAGATAAGAATAGAACGCACCTCGTTAGGGTGCATTTGGAAGAAGAGTAGAGAGTATGTGTATAAAGCAGCTGGCTCTGTGCCTGACACGGAGTATGCAGAGGAAGTATTCACAGTTATTACTGTTGATGGCATTACTTCTCCCTTGGCCCAGTATTAAACCTATTGAACTGAAGATAAAGCGTGTTGCTGTTGAAGCTCTTTTTTAATCATTGTTAATCCCTTATGGGGTAGAGGGTTGCCCTGGATGCAGGAGGGAGGGAGGGAGCGAGCGAGTGCTCCATTTGCTGGATTACTCCCTGAATGCCTGTAAGGGGTGGTGGTGCAAGCCCAGACCAGGTCTTCCACGTGAATGGCAAGAACTCAACCCCTGAGCCATTACTGCTGCCTCCCAGAGTCCATGTTAGCAGGACATTGGAACCTGCAGCTGGGGGATTGAACGCAGGTACTCTTATGTGGGACGCCAGCGTCTTAGATCCTAGGTCAAGGGAGGGGCTGGTGTGGTGGCGTAGTGAATTGAACTGCTACCTGCAACGTCGACATCCCATATGGGCACAGGTTTGTGTCCTGGCTGCTCTACTTCTATCCAGCACCCTGGTAATGTGCCTGAGAAACCAGCAGAAGATGATCTAAGTGCTTGGGCCCCTGCCACCCATGTGGAAGACCCACAAGAAGCCCTTGGCTCCTGGCTTCAACCTGGTCCAGCCCTGAATCAGTGGATGGAACATCTCTGTCTCTCCCCCACTCCTCTAACTTTGCCTTTCAAACAGATGCATAGATCTTAAAAAATAAAGAAAATCCTAATCCAAATGTTTGCCCCATGAAGAGAATTTTTAAAGAAACAATTTAAAGCAAGTAGGTAAATGAAAAGTTGATCTGCTTTTTATTATCAAGTGCCAATATTTCTAAACCATGTCATAGCCTCCCTCCCCAAAGATTTTTTTTGTTAAAGTTCTACTTGATGGCTGCAACGATTTTTTTTAAAGATTTATTTATTTATTTGAAAGTCAGAGTTACACAGAGAAAGGAGAGGCAGAGAGAGAGAGAGGTCTCCCATTCGATGGTTCACTCCCCAATTGTCCACAATGGCCAGAGCTGCACTGATCCCAAGCCAGGAGCCAGGAGCTTCTTCCCAGTCTCCCACACGGGTACAGGGGCCCAAGGACTTGGGCCATCTTCTACTGCTTTGATGATTTTTTTTTTTTGACAGGCAGAGTTAGACAGTGAGAGAGAGACAGAGAGAAAGATTTTCCTTCCGTTGGTTCACCCCCCAAGTGGCCGCCAAGGCCGGCGCGCTGCACCGATCCGAAGCCAGGAGCCAGGTGCTTCCTCCTGGTCTCCCATGTGGGTGCAGGGCCCAAGCACTTGGGCCATCCTCCTCTGCCCTCCCGGGCACAGCAGAGAATTGGCCTGGAAGAGGGGCAACCGGGACAGAATCCGGTGCCCCGACCAGGACGGGAACCCGGGATACCGGTGCCGCAGGCGGAGGATTAGCCTAGTGAGCCGAAGTGCCAGCAATGATGATTGGGTTTTAAGAATAGATTCATGAGGCTCAATAGGCTAATCCTCTGCCTTGCGGCACCGGCACACCAGGTTCTAGTCCCGGTCGGGGCGCCCAATTCTGTCCCGGTTGCCCCTCTTCCAGGCCAGCTCTCTGCTATGGCCCGGGAGTGCAGTGGAGGATGGCCCAAGTGCTTGGGCCCTGCACCCCATGGGAGACCAGGAGAAGCACCTGGCTCCTGCCTTCGGATCAGCGCGATGTGCCAGCCACAGCGGCCATTGGAGGGTGAACCAACGGCAAAGGAAGACCTTTCTCTCTCTCTCTCTCTCTCTCTCTCTCTGTCTCTCTCTCTCACTGTCCACTCTGCCTGTCAAAAAAAAAAAAAAAAATAGATTCATGAACTCCAAGCTAGCATATTTTTATTAGATATCCTTTAATAAACATTGTGTCCTGCTGAACTCCCAGTTACACTGTGGGCCTCTGACCCCCCAGATTCACCTCGTAAGTTTGGAATTGTTGGAGCTGGCTTTAGTTTGTGTCACCAGCCTATGCAGCCTTGCATGCCTTTCTGGGTGTGGACAGTAGACTGTCAGCAGTGCACACTCCAAGGCTGCAAAGACATCAGAACTTGGGTCACTTCAACTCTGTGACTGGGGTGACTTTTTCTTGTATTTCAAGATAAAACAGCCGACAGAAGGTAAACTGTGAGCTATGACAGCCCTCCTGTCCATGGGGGCCACGTCCCAAGACCCCCAGTGGATGCCCAAGACCATGGCTAATACCGAACCCTACGTAGACTGTGATTTTTGCTATGCATACTTACATGTATACCTACGGTGAAATTAACTGATAAATCAGTAAGAGATGAACAGCAATCGCTAGTAATAAAATAGAAAAATTCCTTCAATATTCTGCACTAAAAGTTATTGCAAACTTGTGAATTGTTTATTTCTGGGACTTTCCATTAAATTAATATTTCCAGGCCTCAGTTGTCTACAGGCAGCTGAAACCATGGAAAGTGAAACTGCAGATAAGGGGAGACTACTGTAAATTTGTTTGGCAGGTGTGAATTTTCATCCACACGTGATGTATTTATCCCCACATTTAAATGATCTTTACAATGAAATTATTATTTTTTAGTTCTTTCTTTTATAAAAACAAACCAAGAGGATAGTGCTAATGCCTGCTTATCACATGATTACTTCTGATAATAATTTTGTTATATAGAGTAGAAGGATGTTTTTATTTTTATTATTTATTTTATTTGTAAAGGAGAGAGAGAGAGACCTTACCCTCCTTCTTATTGGCAGGAAGTTGGTCCTGTGTGCTCCTTCTCACCTTGCTTGCCATTGGATGGCACTTGGCCTAATTTGGGTATTAATGAGCAGGTGCCTTTGGCTTTCCCACAGAGCTGCACCCTTCTACTTCACCTTTATTGGTAATAAAAGGTGACATATTTTAGGCACCGTCTGCTAGATACTCTTATTTCTCAAGAAGTTTAGAAGTTGGTCAAGCCAGAGGAGGGCTATTTCCCGAGCCCTCAGAGACCCCAGGAGTTAGGGGTCCTGTATCACTAGATGGACCAGGACTCACAATGACCTTGACGTTGCTCCATTGCCTCTCCTGATACTCACAATGGTTGTTCATGGATACTGGTTACATGAATTATTAATTTCTTCTGCAGTGGTGGTGGTGGTGGGGAATTGGGGGCAGAAGGAAACAGGAAATGCTACAGAAAAGGGGAGATGTTTTCTTCAGTCCTCAAAGGACGAGGAGTCTGCATTGCAGGTGAACGCCTGGGAGGGTGCCTGTGACAGTCGGTCCCCGCCTTCCCAGGATCCAGCTTTCTGGGCAAAAGAATGAGGGCAAGAGGACTGCCCTTGCCTGGCTCACAGGGTCCCTGGGAGTGCTGCACAGTGTACCTGAAGCAGAAACCATAAACTGCCGTACAGATTACTACACAGGACGCAGCCCTCAGCACAAACCGGCTTTCCGCAGAGAGGGTGGGAACAAACATTGATTTCAAGTTGATGAATTCTTTTAATTTTTCACAAGCTGATTCCCTCCTAAATGGTTTTCACGAACACCCATGACTGCACCACCACACCACTTGTCTCTTATTAAACCGCGGGTAAGACAGACTCCACTTGCCTTTGTAGACGTGGTAAAAATGATATTTTCAGAGAGAACAATAGAAAAAGTGTTGTCAGTTTGACATCCCTTGTTAGGATTTCTTTTTTTCCAGACTATGGATGTCTATAGGCAAACAATACATTTAGACACCAAATGGTTTCCTGTGCCTAATGAATTTCTTTTTTCTCCCCAATTTGCATGGGGGGTGGCGCCCGGTGGAAAACGCTCTGACAGGCACATTTCACTTGCGGAGAAACAACAACACGCATTTCTGACTGTCGAAGAGTGTTTAAATAATCATGAAAGCAGCAGCTGGCTTCTTTCTCTCTTCCTCCAATTAGATGCGAGGAAGACTCAAAGGCAATCATGCCCCGACCCTCCTTGTGTCAAAAGTCCGCCTGCAAAACTGACTTCTCGTCAGCCGAGAAGAAACAGCCCATCTACTTTTCTCTCTGGGTGTGACAGCACTTCGGAGAGCCGAGCAGAAATCTTATTTCATCCCTGCTGTGTCGGGTGGGCTGTGTCTTCAAGGCGTGGGAGAGCTGGCAGGTGAGCCAACACCCAGCGCATCCAGATGCTGTCAGGAAGGGGAGGTGTGCTGGGTGGAGAGGCTGAGGGGCTGCCCGTCAGCAGCCCCAGGAAGAAGGCAGCTCTGTAAATAAGCCACTTGCAGGCAGTTTAATGTTTTGCACACAGCCCATGTGAGGAAACCTCTCCGTAGGGTGAACAGCAAAAGTTACTTCCAGCTGCGTGGTTGTGCTTGCAACGCAGCCCAAGGTGCTGGCAGGTGCTGGCTCCAACACAGCTGTCCCTTCCCCTCCACCCCTGTGGTGCCTCTAGGGAGGGGCTGCTCTCAGAAGGGACCCCAGCCACGAATCAAGGCCAGTGTAGCTTTCTTCTTCAGAACTTAAGATGGTCCGCCAACTGCCTGCCAACTTTGAGAGTCATCAGGCCACAGTCTACGCTGGGCACCTCTTCTGTGTCCAGCATGGGGTTGGGCATTATGGGGGACTCAGAAGGATCATTGTCATAACCCCTGGCATCTGCAGAGTGGTGCATGGGTTACAAGGTGTTTTTCACTTATGATGTGGTATAGTTCTGCCTCCCATAATCCTGAGGGGTAGGAAAGAATGTGGAAGAAATTTCCCTGAAAAGAGAGGTAAAGGGATAAGGTTCCATCAGAGTAACAGCTCAAGATTGTGGAGTACTTGTGAGATGTGCTGTCTGCAGTATCACGTGTCATTCTCCTAACCGTCTTCTAAGGAAAGTGCCCATTGTTGCCTATTTGCAGGCTCAGGGAGGATCAGTAAACTGGCTCGGTCTTGCCAGTAGGATTTGGTGGAGCCAGGACTCCAAGGCAGCCGGGGCAGTGCCTGCAATCTTCTCACTCGTGTTCTGCACTGCCTGTGTCCCCTCTGTTCTGTCACTGAGTCCTGATGTCCCCCAGGGAGAGGCGTTCTGCAGATACTAGGAGCCTCCTGGATGCTCTCTGTGTTGGCTGCTGACCTGTGCTTGGAATGGGTCAGTGAACAAACAAGGCTCCCTGCAGCTACATGCTACGGGGCAGGCAGACAGAAACAAGATAGGTAGAAGGAGATGATGAGGAATGCAGAGAAGTGCTAAAGCTCAATGGGAAACAGAAACTCAGGGCACAGTGAAGGAGGGCAGCAGTGCCAGGGCCGGGGGTGGGAGGTGTAAACAAGGTAGCCTGGAAGGTCTCCTGGAAGAGGGGGGCTCTAGGCACCAAAACGGAAGGGAGGGAAATAACCGTGTCCCTTGCAGAGGGAAGAGCACCACAGGTGACAGGGACAGGCAAGGCCCAGCGTGCTCCGAGAACAGCAAGAAGGCCGTGTGTACACAAGAGGGAGCAAAGTGGGCAGCAGTAGGGGTGGCCGCCGTGGCCTCCCAGGTCACTGAAAAGACTGCCTTTGACTCAATGAAACGCAGAGCCCGCGAATGGATGGAGGCCAACCTGGAGGTCACCGTGGTGATCCACATGAGAAGTCACACTGGCTGTGGCTGTGGAGGGGTGATTTAAAATACTGAGAGGGGCCGGTGCTGTGGTATAGTGGGTAATGCCACTGCCTGCAATGCTGGCATCCCATATGGGTGCCGGTTCAAGTCCCACTATTCCACTTCTGACCCAGCTCTCTGCTATGGCCTGGGAAAGCAGTAGAGGGTGACCTAAGTGCTTGGGCCCCTGCACCTGCGTGGGAGACCCAGAAGAAGCTCTTGGCTTTGGATCGGATCAGCTCCGGCCGTTGCAGCCATCTGGGGAGTGAACCAGTGGACGGAAGCGCTCTCTCTCTCTCTGCTTCTCTGTAACTCTGACTTCAAATAAATAAATAAATCTTTAAAAATAAAATAATATAAAATAAAATACTGAGAAACAGGAGCCAGCGCTGTGGCTCAGCAGGTTAAAGCCCCAGCCTGTGGCAGCAGCATCTGTGTCCCAGCTGCTCCACTTCCAATCCAGCTCCCTGCTGATGTGCCTGGGAAAGCAGCAGAGGATGGCCCAAGTGCTTGGGCCCCTGCACAAAAGAAACCCGGAAGAAGCTCTCCTGGCTTCGGCCAGGCTCAGTTCTAGCTGTTGGAGCCATTTGAGGAGTGAGCCAGCGATGGAAGATCTCTCTCTGTCTCTCCCTCTCTGTAACTCTGCCTTTCAAATAAATAGATAAATCTTTAAGATAAAAAAATACTGAATACAGTGGTAGCTAGAAGTGATCTCTACTTAGAAAGAGCCAATGGAAGGTGTGATGATTAGAACACCAGGAATTAGAGTCAACTCCTTGTTTTTATTTTTTACCTCGTTAAACTCAGTGCTTCATGCAGCTAAGCAAGTCACACTAGCAGAGCTGCATCATTCCTGCCTGACGCTGTCCTCATGATCGTGTGGCAAGTACAATCCATAGGCAGTCACAGTGCTTTCAGAACCATTGCTTCTTTGTTTTCCAAGCTGAACTCTGTTTTAGTCTGCTGGGAAATGCAAATAAAGGGAAAAAGAAGTAAAATAATGTGTGCTTGATTTAAATGTTGACGCTGTCCTCATGATCGTGTGGCAAGTACAATCCATAGGCAGTCACAGTACTTTCAGAACCATTGCTTCTTTGTTTTCCAAGCTGAACTCTGTTTTAGTCTGCTGGGAAATGCAAATAAAGGGAAAAAGAAGTAAAATAATGTGTGCTTGATTTAAATGTTCCTGATCCCCACGACCATAGACATCTTGTGAATGTCAGCGTCCCAAGGAGACTGGCTTTTTCTCTTATAGACTTTTTCTACAACATACAGATTTGGCAAATGAAAGAGGCCCGATGGCTTTGGTTAACATCCCCCATTCATGAGTGGAAGGTGAGTTGCACACAGTAAGGAAGGCAGCCATCACTGTGTGATGGTGGTGTCCTTTCTCATGGGTGCATGTGGGCAGCAGTGAGCATCAGCAGTATTGACTGTACAGGTGCCAGTACTCTTGCCGTTTGTCTTATTTACCTTTGTATGTCCAATTTACAGTCTGTTTTGAAAAAATATTTACTTATTTATTCATAAGTCTGAGAGACTGAGAAAGAGATCTCCCACCTGTTGGTTCATTCTCACAACAGCCAGTGCTGGGCCAGGACAAATCTAGCAGCCAGGAACTTCATCCTGGTTTCCCACATAGGCAGCAGGAGTCCCGCTGCCTGGGTCACCTTCCACTGCCTTCTTAGGTGCATTAGCAGGAAGCTGGGTCAGACTTGGACTGGCACTCCATTACGAGATGCCAGCATCAAAAGTGAGTTTCTTGGGCCGTACCCAACCCCAGCCCTCATGGGCACTGTTGTTGATTGAGCGGCACACCATCATTAGTGTTCCCAGCTGAGTGAAGAGCGGCCTTCAGCTCAGCTGGCTGCTTAATGGCCTTATAACAAGGGAACATTCTTAAATTAATGGAGCTCACTTTTAAATTGTACCCCGATACTGAACTAAGTTCTGAGTGTCTGGAGCTAACTTGAAAGATCTACGCCCCCTGCTTGCCCAGTGGCAAATGGTGCAGCCAGTGTTTGTCTCCAGTAAGAAAGCTTCTGATGCAAGTTTCCTATGAGAAAACCTATGGATAAATGTCTGTGCTTATTCTCATCAAAATTTGTGAAAGCAGTTGAGGCATTCTTGTTACCCAGGGTCGCTATTTCTAGATGCTCTAGCCACTAAGCGGCAGGAATGTGAACGAAGTCAGTAACATTGTGGTTATCTGTAAATTCTAAGGAGACACTGCTAGCAATCATGTTCTATGTATAGGAGAAAAGTCTCAGCCAGGATCACTCCCAGCTAAGCAAGACCTCTCCACAGCCAAAGGGGCACTTATCCTTTTTAATTTTTATTTTAAAGATTTATTTTATTTGTTTGAAAGAGAAAGAAATCTTCCATCTGCTGGTTCACTCACCAAATGGCTGCAATGGTCAGGGCTGGCCAGACAAAAGTAAAGAGCCAGGAAATCCATCAAGGTCTCCTACAGAGGCACAAGTACCTGGGCCATCTTCCACTGCTTTCCTAGTGCATTAGGGAGCTGGATCAGAAGTGGAGCAGCCAGAACTCAAAAGAGTGATCCCATATGGGATGCTGGTATTACAGGCAGCAACTTAAACCAAAATAGAGGCCCTGCAATGTTTCTTCTTCTATTTTTCTTAAGCTTTATTTAAGAGGCAGAGTTGGAGAGAGGGAGAGATAGAAAGAGAGAGAGAGAGAAAGAGAGAGAGAGAGAGATCTTTCATTTGCTGGGCCAGGACAGGGCCAGGAGACAGGAGCTTCATCTGGTCTTCCACGTGGGTGCAGGGACTCAAACCCTTGGGCCATCCTCTACCGCTTTTCCCAGGCCATTAGCAGGGATCTGGATTGGAAATGGAGCAGCTGGGACACAAACTGTTGCCCATATTGGTTGCTGGCACCGCAGGTGGTAGCTTAACCCGCTAAGCCACAGTGCCAGCCTCAACATTTCTTCTTATATTGGACTTGTCTACACCCAAATGTGCAATCAACAGGAAGGGAAAGGTCTGGGAGCTTCATGTCCAAGAATAAACATGAAAGGCTGAAAACCAAGGCTTCCTTATTTTTTTAACCATCTCAAACTGAAAATGAGGGGCTTATTTTTTTAATCATCTCAAGATCCAGCACCATTGCATACTGTAAGAACCTTAGATATGGTCAAATTTCCCACATTTAAAAAACTCCATGTTGATTCTTTGTTTGCTGTCTCCCATTCCTCCTACCTGCCCCCACCCCATCATGCACAAATTTATGATGAAACTAGAATAGAAAAAGAGCTTCTGAGTTTTTAGGAGGAAATCATTGTCCTATCCCACTGCCAGGTTTGAGAAGCCACAGGGCTACAGTAGCCAGGTGCTCTGAAGTTGTCACAAGGCGGGATTTAGGGTAATGATACTGCCTGGGCTGCCGTGTAGCAGATTGGTCCGGAAGTGAGCCAGGTGGTGGGGAGGCAGGGATGATAACCTGGGTCCCCTCAGAGGGGTTAGGATTATTTTTCTTTTGGTTGGAAAATATCTCCTCCACTGCTTTCAGTGCACGGATCTCTGTAAGAGTGTCTGCTTCAACAAAGACAGCTTCATGGCACAGCACCAATCTCCCTCTCCCCCATTGCTATGGAAACAGTACCGTGTCCATGTGTCAGGCACACACACGTGCACACACAGTATGTTAATATATTCTCAGGGAACGGCCTCTCATGCCTTCTCCCTCTGCTGTGCTCTATACTTCTAAAAAGACACATTCTGAGCCAAAATCATACTCACGCCTACTAATCAATTGTTATCTAGCATCCCCTTTGTTTTGACATTAACAATACTGATTTTAAGTCGGCGCCGCGGCTCAACCAGGTTCTAGTCCCGGTCGGGACGCTGGATTCTGTCCCGGTTGCCCCTCTTCCAGGCCAGCTCTCTGCTGTGGCTCAGGAAGGCAGTCGAGGATGGCACAAGTACTTGGACCCTGCACCCCATGGGAGACCAGGAGAAGTACCTGGCTCCTGCCATCAGATCAGCGTGGTGCGCCGGCAGCAGCGCGCCGGCCGCGGTGGCCATTGGGAGGGTGAACCAACAGCAAAGGAAGACCTTTCTCTCTGTCTCTCTTTCTCACTGTCCACTCTGCCTGTCAAAAAAAAAAAAAAAATACTGATTTTAGGCTTTTCTTCAGTTTACTCTTTCCTGGAAGTGAAATAATCTGTTATCTGACCCTTTACCTGGCTCCAGTTTTTTCCCCACCCCTTAAATTAATACACTGTAGTTTTCAATACTATTTACTAATTAGAGAAAAAAACCTACTTCACATCCAAGTCAATTTCTTTGATGGATATAATCAGGTATCTCATGTAGTTCAATTTTTTTTAAAAGCCTTGTTTATTTATTTGAAAGGCAGAGTTACAGACAGAGGCAGAGAGAGAGAGAGAGAGAGCGAGAGAGAGCGCGTCTATCCACTGGTTCACTTCCCAAATAACCGCAACAGCTAGAGCTGGGCCGATCCAAAGCCAGGAGCCAGGATCCTCTTCCGGATATCCCATGTGGGTGCAAGGGCCCAAGGACTTGGGCCATCTTCTATTGCTTTTCCAGGCCATAGCAGAGAGCTGGGTTGGAAGTAGAGCAGCCAGGACTTGAACTAGCACCCATCTGGGATGCCAGCACTGCAGGCGGCGGCTTTACCTGCTAAGCCACAGTGCCAGCCCCTCAATTTCTTAAATCTTCTCAATCTAAAAGCTTGTTTTAAACTGACAAAGCAACCACTTCTTGGGAGGATGCCGATGTACCAAAAGTGGGACTGGAGTTCCATGGTTCAGCCTTCAATCTCTGTAAACATGAACGAAACTAAAGAGAGCTCAGATGCAGAGAAATAATGTATTGTAACAAGTGTTTCACGTACCTACTACGTATCACATGTGAGCCAACTGCCTGCAAGAGCCGACTCCAGCTCCATGGAGAAGCTTTTGATCAAGAAGGAAAGACCTGGAGCTCCAGAGTCAGGAACCTGGGCCCCAGAGCCCACCACCACCAGCTGTGCTGCTTTGCTTCGCTGAGCTGGGCCACGGAGCTGCCAGCTGCACAATGAGAGACTTGGCTGAGACTGCCTCCCGGTTCCTTCGGCTCCATGTGCCTTGGCCGGGACTCAGTTTCAGAGCCAGGTGCAGTGGAAATGTGTGGTTGATCAGGCAGCCGTCACAAGGTTTGAAGCCCAAGGAGGGACCAGTGACATCCCTGGGTGAGGTCTGACACCCATCGTTCTTACCTACCACCCTTGTTCTACTCAATGCCTTGGTGGGACGCCGTCCCACGCCTCGTCTTCCCCTGCCTCCTTCAGATCCTTCCTGTGTCCCTTGATACATTTCCTCCTGCCAAATGGCTGAGTTTGTTGAGATCAAGTCAACTTTGTTAAATTATAAAGTTGCCTTTTGCTGATATGAACCCTGGTAGAGTCTCCAATTCATCTCCTACAACTCACATGCTTTGCTTCAACCTCAAGGGCGATTCTTGGAACTCACCAAGCTCTTAACTTCCCCGGCCTTGGCCCATGGCCAGTGCTGCTGCCACTACCCAGAAATCTCTGCCCCCTCTCAGCTCTCTATTGTGCCTTGTTGCCCTTCAGTCTCAGTTTCAGAATTCCGTCCCCTTCCCCACTGACTCTGCCCCCTGCAATTCAATTCTCTTTTCCTTCACAGATCTTACCAAGAAGTACAGGCATCTCCCAAGTAGGTTATGCATTCCATCAGGGCACTGGACCACCACTGTACAGCCAGGGCCTGGCATTCAGCAGGGGTTTGGGCAATCACTGTTGGGCAAGTGCACTGGTGAGCAAATAAATGAAAACCTTATCTTATTCCCAAGAGACCAGTGAGAATTGCAAGAACTGGCCCACATGCTTGCCTAACTCTTGAAGGGCAGATACTGTCATTAGAAAAAGCATCACTCCCCCAATGTACAGGCTTGGCCTATCAAGAGTCAAACTCTTTGTCAACAAGAAGGCTTTGACTCACTGCAAAGCCTTCCTTCACACCTGTGCTGGGCGCTTGGCTTGGCGTGTAGCAAACATGAGGACTTGGACCGTGAAGCACAGTGGTACAAACAAGGTGAGGCTTGCTCCTGTCTCACACCGAGGCTTTGGTAGAACAAGGGCCACGATCCAGTTTGTTCCTGGTCTCTGGGTCTCGCTTTTGTGTCTTTAGTAAAATACCACAAGCCGGATAACATGTAAAGGGTCGAGGTTTTTCTGGCTCATGGTTCCGGATGCTGGCAAGTCCAAGAACATGGCACCAGCTTGGGCTCCGTGTCTGGTGAAGACCTTCCTGCGATATCCTTGGTATCACAGGGCGAGACCAAGCAAGCTGGCCAGATAGGGCGCACAAAGCTGATCCTGAGCCTGCCAGATAGGGCACACTTTATAACAAGGCGGGTCCTGGTGTATGCTCACCCACTCCTGAGGGCAGAGCCCTTGTCACCCAAACACCTCTTAAAGGCTCCACACTCCAGCTGTGCCCCAGTGGCCATCAAGTCGCCACATGAGTTTGGGGGAGAACAAGGCCTATCCATGCAGAGCACCAGGTAGTCACTTCCACCCTGGCCCTCGGTTTGCTCCTCTGTAGACACACTTCTTCTTCACCTCACTCCTTAGTACACACTGGAACTCCTGGATAGGAATGTGACTTTGCTGATACCATTAAGGCCCAAAGCCCTTACATGGAGAGAGAGAGAGAGAGAGAAGCAATTAATTAACATAAATATAAAAGTTTTTGGATTTTGTGATTTTTTTTAGCTTTTAAAAATTTAGTATATTCTTTGACTAAATATCACATTTATATCTAAAAAATTACCACATGTTAACTTTGCCTTAAATAATTGGCTCAGGAGCTGATGTTGTGGCATGGCCGGTAAAGCCGCTGCCTGTGAACGGTGGCATCTCCTGGGGTGCCAGTTTGTGTCCTGGCTGCTCCATTTCTGATTCAGCTCCCTGCTAATGGCCTGGGAAAAGCAGTGGAAGATGGCTCGAGTGTTTGGGCTCCTGTCACCCACGTGGGAGACCCAGGTGAAGCTCTTGCTCCTTGCTTTGGCCTGACCCAGCCCTGGCCATGGTGGCCATTAGGGGAATGAACCAGTGGACGGAAGCCCTCTCTCTCTCTTTCTCTGTAACTCTGACTTTCAAATAAATAATTATATCTTCAAAATTAAATAAATAAATAATTGGCTTTAGGGAACACACATTCTCGGGAATTTTTTAAAAATGGCATTAGTGCTGTTTTTCTTGCCCAGATTGCTGGCAGCAGATGTACCCGTGCCCTCATCATCTGGCTTGTCTCGCCTGCAGGATGCATGGCTGGCTGTGCTGCCCTCATAGCTTTGACCCCTGGGCCCAGCTTGAAAATCTGCTTCGTCATCCTGTGCTCACCTTTAAGTCAATGTGTAACAGACAGATCACTGCACCTCTTTACGTGTTAGTTTTTCACCTGTGAGATGGAAATACTACCTGGCTGGCTCTATGTGTGTCCTCAAGGGCCTTCGGAATGTGTGGCTGTTGCCATGCCAACCCTACAGGGACATCTGACCTCTGGGCAGCACACGCTTGCAGGCGTGTGAGGGCTTTGTGACACCTCTCTTGCTGGGTCCCGTGGGAGCTGACTCACGGCGTTCTGTGGCTTGGCAGACAGATGTGGGGTTACTTCTAGAACTGTGGCTCCCCCAAGGATCATGTTCAGTCTCATCTGATCTGTAGCCCCCAAGAAAACTACAGATCAATGTGGTGTGTGTGTCTGTGAGTGTGCATATTGCTGCCAACTGCTCTGTCTTCTGAGATAATGTCCTTCCTGGGGTTGGTTTTTTTTGGTTTTTTTTTTTTTTTTCTGGTGTTAAATTTTTTTTCCCTAAGGACCATAAAAGGTACTTGTCCATATGATTCCAAAGTCTGCTTGGAAACCTTGAGCTGAAGGACAACCCTGTTATTGTTTCCTAGATCTCTGATCTGGTTTTGCTAGTCAATGATTTACTTTGGCTGGCAGAGATCATGCTAAGCTTTGGAAATTTACCTGGCTTCTTGAAGGTACAAGGACACTAACATTTCCTCAGGGTATATACACTGTGTGCCAGGAGTTGTTGGTGGAGCTATATATGTTATTTCATTAAATCCACCTTAGAAATCCTGTGAGGGAGAACTATGATGCCGTTTAAAATAGGAGAAATTTGAAGCTCAAAGGAGACAAGTCACTTGGTCAAGGTCCCCGGTTGTTAATCAGCAAAATCTGAATTTGAACTCAGTTGGTCAGAGCCCAAAGTCCACAACCTCCTAAACTCACTAGTCAGATTCCCTAAATAAAGCAGCAAAACATATATTTTAATCTGGTCTATGCTTTTGGTGTCAACCAAAGGACATTTGGGAACTGACATTTTAACCCTGATACCCACAAAGAAAGCATTAAAAGACCTTAGAGGCACAGGGACTCACTGTTGATGGAGACAACCTCCGGTTGAGCAGGACTGGTTAACCTGGCACTGGGGCCTTCTTCCTGTGTGCTGAGTTTATGAAAGAGCTGAGCAGATGCCAAGGCCAGGAGCCAAGTGAGACCAAGTGCTTGAGTCACACAGTGGTGCCGAGTGCATTCCGGGGCTAAGCGAGAAAACATTCCGGAAGGCCTCCTCTTTGGTATCATCTCTTCTTGATTCTCCCCCATCCATAGAAACAATCAAGGTGGACTGGATTGAATGACATAAAAAACACATGAGGTGTTTGTCCTCCAGGGCTGTGAGCAAAAATCAGCCTTGCCTTCAGTGATTCATGGGCCAGTGTTTATTTCTATATCAGATATCTCCGTGATATTGGATATGTTTTCTCTCTGCTGAAATTCTACTATGAAGATGGCAAAAAAAGGCCAATGTTCTGAATTTTTAAGACTTCATTCTTAAGAAACAAGGCCAAGGGAAGGTTAGATCTTCAAGTAGAATGATAGAAAATCCCTCAGCCTCAAGTTTACAAACCCCCAGTTAAAAAAAAATATTAGGCCTGGTCTTCCTGGCTTAAGGTTCCCATTCAGGAGGTCTGGTAGGAGTGCTTGAAGTCAGTGCTGTAATAAACTAACCAGGGACTTGAGTGTGGGCAAAAGGTCCAAGGGACATACACTGGGAAACAGCTGCAAGACATGCACATTCCCAGGCACATTTTGGCAGACACCTACCCTTTCTGTCCGGCTGCAGAGGTGGAAGGAATCTCTCTCGGCCCTGTGTGCCAAGAAGCAACCACACCAGCCTCCACGTAATCACTCCCATTCTAGGTGGGCTTTACTGTATTGGGCCAAAGGGAAGAACCCTCAGCTACAGAGATTCCAGAGGGTGGAGGTGAGGGAGGGATGATGGCCAGGGGCTCCTAATGATGCAAGGGAGGACCCCATGTCCAGGGACAGGAATGTTCTGGGCTTTGTCAGCATGAAGGCTGTCAGTCTGGATGGAACAGTTGGGCTAAATCACAAGGTCTTTCAGGTTTCCAGATGATTCTGTCTTTATCAAGGACACAAATCAGGGTGTCTTTCACATGCTGCCTGAAAAGGCCACCTCGCTGGCTGCCGTGGTTCTCCAAGGTAACATGCGCTTGGGCAGTGCTGTCTTCAAGGTTGTTGATGGACAAGCAGCCATGCTGGTGGATCAACGCCTGGCTGAAACAGTGGTTAAATATCCTGAATCACTTACCTGATGGTGCTGGTGCCTCTTGGGCAAGTTTACCTTTGAGGCTTCTTGTACCATGGAGAGTCACAGAGTGAAAGATATAAAGGGGGCTTTAAGACAGGAGAGCTGGTATCTGAGGCAGGGTAGGAAGATGAAGGGCAGGAAATATAGTTAAAAATTCTCAGTATGGTGTCCCCAACTAATCGGAGAAACTGGGCCAAGGATGGCAAAGTTTCTGCAGGACAGGCAGGTCTGAAGGTTGGGTAGAGGCTCCTGGGAGCCCTGACCTGGAGCGGTCTCTGAGTTCCCAATCATGGCAGTGATCATCTACAATGATAGATTACTGACGTCTGCCAAGGGCTCAGGAAGGGGTGTGTGCCATGCTTATCAACTCTGTTGTAGTTGACATGAGCTGTATCTTGGAGTCTTTGGCCTTGTGCTGATCTCTCAGATAGCACATAGCAGCGTTTTCTTCCTCCGCCCGAACATACAGGGCCATCGGTGTGCCGCTCCAATAAGAGGTTTACAGGAGTTCAGGCAGAGTCTCCACTAAATCTTTAGTGCAGAATCTGCACTAAAGAGCAGCAGTAGAGGCCACCCAGCATATGTCTCTAAACACGATAAACAGGCAAGTCCCCGTGCATGGCCTTCCCCTGCGTGGGCACTTCTGTTTGCAGCACACCCTCCAAACTTCAGCTTCTCTCATGCCTTGGGACCAACTGGCACCTCAGCTTCCCTGGTGTGGGTCGGGAGTGGCCGGGTCTGTGACACCTGTCACTGGCTCCACACAGGACACAGTAGACTACTATGAGTTATGACCGTGTAATCAGCAGCATTTTCAGTCACCACAGAGCTCTCGGCAAGCATCTGCATCACTTGATGGTGTTGGTGTTTCCAGCCGTGTCCTGCTGAATGCGGGGGGATTGGGCTACTTACCTCGCTCCCTTAATGCTCCACTGCCTGGCTCGTGGCCATTTTTTATGAAAAGGAAGCGTCCCTTAAAAACGAAGGAATCTTGTCTGTAGGGAGACCCTGTGTCTTAGTCTGCTTGGGCTTCCATAGCAAAATACTATACCCTGGGTGACTTCAATAGCAGATATTTATTTCTGGTGGTTCTGAGGTCGAGGTGCTGGGTGACATGGCTCCTGGAGAGGGCCTACTCTTGGCCTGTAGACAGCACCTTCTTTCTGGGTCATCACATGGTCACCATCTCTTCTTCTTCTCTCAGACACCAATGTCATCATGACCTCGTCTAAGCCTGGTTACCTCCCAGAGGTCTCCCTCCAGCTACCATCATTGTGAGGCTGAGGGCTTCCATACATGTGGGGAGCAACCGGACTAGACTGAGTTACTGGAATTAAGACTTATTCTATGCATCTGCTCTCCCACAATATGGCGCTGGGAGAGAAGTAAACAGCTTCCGCACAGCTGCCTCCAGTTCAGCTAATAAACTGTAGGACTTGCTCCTGATTGGAGGAGAGCAGCGTACTCGGCGTGTGGGCAGCCGAGTTGGGATTGGCGGAGGAGGACTATAAAGGAAGAGAGAGACAGCATGCACCGGGAACATCTATGGGGAACATCTAAGGGAACCCGTGCAGCCCCCGAGAAAGCCGGCCGGCAGTGTGCCGCTCCCCTGCGGAAGTGGGGAATGTGGCCAGGGGGAACTGCCCTTCCACGGAGGTGGAAGGGATAGTAGCCAACCCGGGAAGAACCAGCAGCAAACCCGGGGAGGGCCGAGCAGACGAAAGAACAGCGCAGGGTCCTGTGTCATTCCTCCACGAAGACGGGGAGCGACATAGTGGTGCCGTGACTCGGATATGAAGCCCAGGCAGGGTTTAGTGTCGTTCCTCCATGAAGAGGGGGAGCGACATAATGGTGCCGTGACTCGGATAGGAAACCTAGCTCGGATAGGAAACGTGACTCGGATAGGAAACCTAGGACGGATAGCAAACTTAGGAGGGAAGAAACGGGAAGAAACGGGAAGAATTGGGAAAATATCGGAGAGAGAGACTAGCAAACAGCCTAGGGAAAATACCGGAGAGAGAGACTAGCAAACAGCCTAGGGAAAAGCCGGACGAAAAGGGTGCCGGAAGAAGCTATTGAAAGCCTAGGCATAGACTCGGATACGGACTACTGGGGGAAGCTGGGAGAAATCTCTAAGGTCGAAAGCGAAAGTGAAAGCTAGAACAAACAGACTCGGATGCGGACTGTGGGGAGAGGCCAGGAGAAATGAGGGAGGAATATTGTTGGAAGAAAGCTTGGGGAAACATACCGGGTAGAGAAAAATGTTAGGGAAATTGAAGCCGCGGGGGGCAGGCTGAGGCGGATACGAAAGCCACTTTGGGATTCTCAAGTTAGCCCGGGAATAGGGGGCGAAAAGTTGAAACCAGAAGCTGAAACGTAAGCCAGATTGGGATCCGTCTGATTAGCCCGGGGAGCATAGGACGGGAAGCCAAACCGTGGGGCGGAGACGTATGCTGGGTTGAATTCGCCAGGCTAGCCCGGGGAACTTGGATTGAATGCTAGTGGTGGAGACGCAAGCTACGCTGTGTGACTCGCGGAAGCCGCCACGTGCAGAGAGCACGGGGCGTGAATAGATAGGGAATGGGGCTGGCGTAGGCCGTGGTGCAGACGCGAAGGGCGTGGAGACCGCGGAGCGCGCGAAGCCAAGCCGCGCAAAGCCGGGAAGCTGCGCAGATGAGAGAGGCGCGGGCTGAAGCGGCTCAGAGCCGGAAAGCTGCCGAGAAGCAGCCTCGGGGCGGGCAGCGGGAAGCTGCGGGGATAAGAGAAACAGAAGTTTGGAAGTGGAGTGAGAGAAATGGGAATGTTGGCAGACAGAAGTAAAATGGGAGAAATAGGAATGCCCGGAGATAGAGAAATAGAGAAATAGAAAGGCCTCCCTACAATACAACAATTAGAAGGCTTGGATTCGGTCTGCCCGATTAGTGAGGCGATGAGCACCTGGGCGGCTAGCAGCTTATGCGCCGCAGGTCACCGAAGACAGGCACGAATTAACATCAGTAAGGCTTCCCCACAATACAACAATGAGAAAGCTTGGATTCGGTCTGCCTAATTAAGGCGGTAAGCACCAGCAAGCAGCTCGACCAGAGTATGAGCTGCAGGTCACCGAAGATAGGCACGAACCAACACTAATAAGTCTCCCCCACAATACGGCAATGAGAAGGCTTGGATTCGGTTTGCCTGATAGGGCTTGTAAGCCCCTGCAGGCTCGACCAGAGCATGCGCTGCAGGGCACCGAACACAGGCATGCATCAGCGCCTAAAAACCTCCTCACAACATGGCGAAGAGAGGACCCGGATTCGGTTTGCCTGATTGATAGGACTTGTAAGAGCCTGTGGCAACTCTAGCAAGTAGAGCAGAGTGTGTGCCGCGGGACACCGAAGACAGGCGCGTATCAACGCCAAAAAATAAAAAGAAAGGGGGATCTGTGGGGAGCAACCGGACTAGACTGAGTTACTGGAATTAAGACTTATTCTATGCATCTGCTCTCCCACAATATGGCGCTGGGAGAGAAGTAAACAGCTTCCGCACAGCTGCCTCCAGTTCAGCTAATAAACTGTAGGACTTGCTCCTGATTGGAGGAGAGCAGCGTACTCGGCGTGTGGGCAGCCGAGTTGGGATTGGCGGAGGAGGACTATAAAGGAAGAGAGAGACAGCATGCACCGGGAACATCTATGGGGAACATCTAAGGGAACCCGTGCAGCCCCCGAGAAAGCCGGCCGGCGGTGTGCCGCTCCCCTGCGGAAGTGGGGAATGTGGCCAGGGGGAACTGCCCTTCCACGGAGGTGGAAGGGATAGTAGCCAACCCGGGAAGAACCAGCAGCAAACCCGGGGAGGGCCGAGCAGACGAAAGAACAGCGCAGGGTCCTGTGTCGTTCCTCCACGAAGACGGGGAGCGACACATACACGAATCTGGGGGGCCTTCAGTCCATAACACCCTCCTTTCCAGAAGGTGCGTTTTTCCTGGAAAACGCCATCGAATGCAACCCAACTTCTTAATACCAGAGTGTGACCTGAGAGTTTCGCTCTTTGGGTTATGGGAGGGTTGGTTGCTTGAGAAACAGGTCTTCAAGAGTATTAACGGCCAGCGCTGCGGCTCAATAGGCTAATCCTCCACCTAGTGGAGCCGGCACACCAGGTTCTAGTCCCGGCCGGGGCGCTGGATTCTGTCCCAGTTGCCCCTCTTCCAGGCCAGCTCTCTGCTGTGGCCCGGGAGTGCAGTGGAGGATGGCCCAAGTGCTTGGGCCCTGCACCCCATGGGAGACCAGGAGAAGCACCTGGCTCCTGCCTTCGGATCAGCGCAGTGCGCCAGCCGTGGCGGCCATTGGAGGGTGAACCAATGGCAAAAGGAAGACCTTTCTCTCTGTTTCTCTCTCTCACTATCCACTCTGCCTGTCAAAAAAAAAAAAAAAAAAAAAAAAAAAAAAAAAAAAAAAAAAGAGAGAGAGAGAGAGAGTATTAACATACAGAAAATAAACGTGTTTTCAGTTTTAAAAAGAGCAGTGAGTGACCCAATTGCTTTTGGGGAACATAGAAAATTACCTTTGTGGAACTGGGTGGGTAGAAATAAAGAGGAAGCAGCAGCAGGACAGGGAGGGGTACGGTTTGGGGCTCTTGTAACTATTTTGTGTGATGTGAACTAAACGTTCTGCTCTTTGAATTGTTAATTTAGACAGGACCCTGATTTCAGTCCCCGACCCCACTGCGCAGTAGCAGGTGAGCCAGGACTGAGTACCTAGGGGAGCAGGTGACCTAGATGACTGAGGCTCTTGAAGCCTCAGTTTTGTCACTTCTGAAACAGGGGTAAGAATAGTCCCTGTTTCATGGGATTTAATGAGAATATACAAGAAGTATTTGAAGGCTATGGAACATGACAGTGCTCATTGATTGTCAGCTATTATTATTATTTATTAACAGCATGGCAGGAAAGCTACAGCACTAGGAAGCTGGAGTACTTTCCTCAATTACTTACTTAATACCACAGGGGCAGGGATTTGGTGCAGCAGTTAAGATACCACCTGGGCCTGTGGCACCGGCACCCTGGGTTCTAGTCCCGGTCAGGGTGCCGGATTCTGTTCCGGTTGCTCCTCTTCCAGTCCAGCTCTCTGCTGTGGCCTGGGAAGGCAGTGGAGGATGGCCCAAGTGCTTGGGCCCTGCACCCTTATGGGAGACCAGGAGGAAGCACCTGGCTCTTGGCTTTGGATCCGCATGACGGGCTAGCTGCAGTGCGCCAACCATAGCGGCCATTTGGGGGGGTGAACCAACAGAAAAGGAAGACCTTTCTCTCTGTCTGTCTCTCTCTCACTCTCTCACTGTCTAACTCTGTCTGTCAAAAAAAAAAAAAAAAAAAAAAAAAAAAAAAGATACTACCTGGGATCAACATCCCATATTGGAGTGCCTGGGTTCAAGCCCCAGCCCTGCTTCTGAGCCCAGCTTCTGGCTTGTGAGCGCACTGGCAGTGGTGATGACCCGAGTACCTGGGTTCCTGCCACCCACGTGGAAGATATGGATTAAGTTCAG